AGGCTACTTTCTTAATATATTTTGAGGGGTTCTGGTCTGGTCCATAACAAATGTAGGTCAGCCATGGAGTTGTCACTGCCAAAGTCCAGAGAATAGCAGCAATAGATGAAATTGAACTCTGACAAATGAGAGTGATGCACTTTGGAAGAAAATAGAACGGAATATTTGACGAAAGATGGGAAATTAGAAAGCTCAAAGGCACAGAGTGATCTTGGAATGCTGGTCCATTGAATCCCTAAAAGGTGGCAGGACAAGTCAATAGGTTAGTTGAGAAGGCATACAGGACGCCTGGCTTATCAGTTACGGTATAGATTATAAGAGAAGGGAGGTCATATTTGAGCTGTACAGAGCTTTGGTTAGGCCAAAGCTGGAGTCACCGCACAACAAGATGGTTGAGATTGCACTGGAAAGGTGCAGAGGAGATTCACTAGTACATTGTCTGGGATGGAGCATTTCAGCTACGAAGAGATGCTGGTTAAGCTTGGGTTTTTTTTTTTTACTTTGGAGCAGAGAAGGTTGAGGGGGGACCTGATTGAGGTGTACACGACTATGAGGGGCCATGAACAGGGTATATGGAAAGCAGATGTTCGCCTTTGTCAAACGGTCAATAATAAAGGGGGTATAATGGTAAAATGAAAGGCACGAGGTTTAGAGATGTTTTGAGGAAGCATTTGTTCACCCAGAGGGTGGAGGAGGTCTGGAATGCACTGCCTAGGAGGGTAGTTGAGGCAGGCAACATTACAACCTTTAAAAAGTACTTGGATGAACACTTGGAAATGTCTAACATTCAAACCTATGGGCCTAGTGCAGGAAAAGGGGACTAGTGTAGGTAGTACTGTATTTTTTATTCTTATCTTCACCCTATTCAAAGAATTGTGTAATAGTTCTATACTGCCATGAAAGACAAACACCAACATGCACTGATACAATCTAGTTTTCTGAGCAGCTATAAAAATCACTCTCTACAGAGAGAGATTTCTTAAACTGGAATATTACTTCAAGTTTGGGCAAATGAGAGGGAGCAGGGGCGGCATGGTGGCTCAGTGGCTAGTACTGCTGCCTCACGATGCCAAAGACCCAGGTTCAACTCCATCCTCAGGCAGTTGTTTGTGTGGAGTTTGCACGTTCTCCCCATACCTGCATGTGTTTTCCTTGGGTACTCCGGTTTCTTCCCAAATCGAAAAGATGTGCAGGTGAGGTGAACTGGCTATGCTAAATTTCCCATAGCGTCTAGTACAGGAAATGCAGGGATAGGAGAGTGAGTGGGTCTAGGTGGTATGCTTTTCGATGGGCTGAATGGCCTGTTTCCACACTGTAGAAATTCTGTGACAAACAGCAACTTTTATGAATTTTAGGAAAAAGTTCTTAAAGTGTCTTGAATAATTTACCATTAGCAGACAGGAAAACAAAGAACATTACAGCGCAGTACAGGCCCTTCGGCCCTTGATGTTGCGCCGACCTGTGAAACCAATCTGAAGCCCATCTAACCTACACTATTCCATTATCATCCATATGTTTATCCAATGACCATTTAAATGCCCTTAAAGTTGGCGAGTCTACTACTGTTGCAGGCAGGGCATTCCACGCCCTTACTACTCTGAGTAAAGAACCTACCTCTGACATCTGTCCTATATCTATCACCCCTCAATTTAAAGCTATGTCCCCTCGTGCTAGCCATCACCATCCGAGGAAAAAGGCTCTCGCTGTCCACCCTATCTAATCCTCTGATCATCTTGTATGTCTCTATTAAGTCACCTCTTAACCTTCTTCTCTCTAACGAAAACAGCCTCAAGTCCCTCAGCCTTTCCTCATAAGACCTTCCCTCCATACCAGGCAACATCCTGGTAAATCTCCTCTGCACCCTTTCCAATGCTTCCACATCCTTCCTATAATGCGGTGACCAGAACTGTACGCAATACTCCAAGTGCGGCCGCACCAGAGTTTTGTACAGCTGCAACATGACCTCATGGCTCCGAAACTCAATCCCTCTACCAATAAAACCTAACACACCGTACGCCTTCTTAACAACCCTATCAACCTGGGTGGCAACTTTCAGTGATCTATGCACATGGACACCGAGATCTCTCAGCTCATCCACACTACCAAGAATCTTACCATTAGTCCAGTACTCTCTATTCCTGTTACTCCTTCCAAAGTGAATTACCTCACACTTTTCCGCATTAAACTCCATTTGCCACCTCTCAGCCCAGCTCTGCAGCTTATCTATGTCCCTCTGTAACCTGCAACATCCTTCCGCACTATCCACAACTCCACCGACTTTAGCGTCATCTGCAAATTTACTAACCCATCCTTCTACGCCCTCATCCAGGTCATTTATAAAAATGACAAACAGCAGTATCCCCAAAACAGATCCTTGCGGTACACCACTAGTAACTGAACTCCAGGATGAACATTTCCCATCAACCACCACCCTCTGTCTTCTTACAGTTAGCCAATTTCGGATCCAAACCGCTAAATCACCCTCGATCCCATCCCTCCGTATTTTCTGCAATAGTCTACCGTGGGGAACCTTATCAAACGCTTTACTGAAATCCATATACACCACATCAACCGCTTTACCCTCATCCATCTGTTTGATGACATCTTTCATGACGTCTTCCAAAGCAGTAAGGCTTAATGGACTGTTTGGCCTCCTGTTTTTATTTAATAGAACAATTCCCTAACACAAAGAAGCAGATAACTCTAAATGTAAAGATGTGCTGCAGAAATTCACCAATGTTTCTTGGACAGCACCTTCTAAACCGATGATCACTACCATCTTGAAGGTCAAGATAAATGGGAACACCTCCTCCTGTGAACTCCCCCTCAAATCACTCACTATTCGAATTTGGAACAATATCCTTGACTGTTGCTGAAATTCCTGGAAAATCCTCAAACTCCCTTCCTAGCAGCACTGAGGGTGCACCTACACTCCAAAGGTCTGCAGGAGGTTCAAGAAAGGTACTCACCATCATCTTCTTCAGGGCAATTAGGGTTGGGGAACAAATGCTAGCCTGCCCACAACCCAAGGATTAATTTAAAATATAGATGAAAGATTATGGATGGAAAATGTTTTGTACAAAAAAAAACATAAAAAGGCACCCCCCTATACCAATCATTTAAAGCAAGCATGGTGTAGCAAGGAGTTAAGGCAGCGTATGGTAGTTTGAGTACAGGAACAAGGAAATCTCACTGTAGTTATGCAGGGCCTAGGTAAAACTAAGCCTGGATTGCTGTGTGCAGTTTTTGTCTCCTTATCCAAGAAAGGACATACTTGCTAAATAGGGATGTGCAAAGTTCACCTGACTGTTTCCTGGGATGACAAGTTTATTATAAGAGGGACTGGGTCGACCAGGCCTGCGCTCATTAGACTTTGGAAGAATGAGAGGGGATCAGTTTGAAATGTACAATATCCTAACTGGGTTTGACAGGCTGGATGAAGGGATGATACTTTCCCCAGCTGGTGGGTCGATCCAGAACAAGGGATCACAGTCACAAGACACAGGATAGGCCATTTCAAATTGGGAGGGGAGGAGAAAACTCTTCAGTCAGAGGGTGGGGAGACTTGAAATTCTCTGCAACAGATGCCCATGGAGGCCAAGTCACTGAATATGTTTGAGGAAGAAATGGATTTTTAAATGCTAAGCATATCAAGAGACTTTGGGAGAAAACAAGAGAATGTGACATTGAGATAGGGAAGCAGTCATGATCACATTGAATGGCAAAGAGGACTCAATGAGCCAGGGAGGGAGCAGGTGTAGCCATCTCCAACAGTGAACAATTAACCAGGAATCATTTAAGTATTTATTGAATTCTGTTCTATAAGATAACTATGCCAGAATCATGTAGGGCATGCGGTGTTACATTTCACAGAGTGAAGTCTACCCTAAATTCTCTGCACATGAAATGGCTTCAGTTTTCCTACCCTGGGGGGGTACAGAGTGAATACTGAATTCCTGCAGGAGACAAAGGGAAGAACTGAAACTGGATTGGGAAAGGTCTCAGAACACGACAAGGGATATTACATTGTTCAACACCAAACACTAAATTATGATGTCAGATCGTGCAAGTCTAAACAGGCCTTTTGAATCAAATTTCTAGTTTGTTGGGTGCATCATGCCACACTTCAGAAGCGAGCATATCAGGGGTGGGATTAGAATCTGAACCTTCAATGCCATTGTCACCAAACCTTTATAGTTCTCGTTTATATAAAGGTCACAAAGCAAAATCCATCTGCCACAAATTACTGTAATGCGAAACACATTATTATGCATCCTCTCTGCACTTTGTTTTACAACACTTGGAACAATCTGGATCATAAAGCCGTTGTCTCCTGCCAAGTTACTTGTGGTACATTGTGCAGCACGTATAAATATCCGCTAATTGGACCATTTCTGCATAGCAGAATAAACCCTTCTGAGTTTAAGTGCCTCATGAAGGCAAAGCAACTAGCAAAGAATCTGGGAACAAATATCCTCCCAATTCAAACGCGGGTTTCTTGCTTACTGCTTCAAGAAAATACTGGACCAGGCAGTTCTATCAAAAAGAAAAGCCAGTATGAAATTTAATAATAATTAATTCCTCATGCAGTTTATGCATTACCAGTTCTGGTCATTGCTTCCCCAAGATATCAATATATTGTTTCAGTAGGTTACTTCACACATGCTGGGGTATGATGTTCTGGACGCAATACTCCAAATGCTGCCACAGGCAACACAAACAAGTTTTGCCAGTATCCACGCACAAACAAAACTCCAAAGGGGTCATCCACAACCAACAGAAGAATTCAAGCGTGTTGCCATACTACCTGACTGTGTAAGGGAACCTGAAAAAGTCAGTACAGCCCAGGAGTTTACCTAATGAATAGATCAGTGAATAGAGCAACGAAGAGGAGAGCTAGTTAACCATTGTAAAAGATGACTGGGAATATTAACGAATACCTTAAAAATCATCTATTCACAATGTCAATAAATTAATTTGACTAGCTTTTCTATACATACCAGTATTTCCACATCAATTTCATTCACATCATCTGTATTTACATCAAAATCTGAATGACTGCCAAAGTCAGAGCTCCCAATGGACGACTCTCTTCCTGCAGTGAAAACAGCATCTTCATCTTTACCATTAAAAATCCTTCTTCTTAAAGCAGTGGAATCATAACCATCAGGATTCAATGGTTCCTGGTAATGTTTCTCTTTGAGGTCTCCTGCAATCTTAACTGGAAAAAGACTGTTGGCCTTTAACTTATCTTGCCCCCAGTCAGCTCCTCCTGTGCAATCTGCATCATGACGTTCTGATAAGACAGAAACCATGTTGTCTTTCATTACTGCAGTGTCAGATGGGTTACTGCTTTCGAGCCAGTGTGGTTCAGGTTTCTGAAATGTTAAGCCTCTTGCCCCCGAGGTGTTCTTAGCACCAAAGAAGTGCTCATCTTCTGCTTGGTCCTCAGTTGCATCAGATCTTGTATCTACAAAAGAGACAGCTGATCAACTCAACGCTGCAAGTATTCAACTGCTTACTGCTGTGAAAAACTTGTATCTATGTTCTTTGTGGTTCCCCCACCACCTCTGTGATGTCCCTCATAGCCCTCACAGACAGGGCAGAAATAAACTAGTTTATTTTCTAAATTTTAAAGTCTTTCTACAAATCTGTTGGTTTAGCAGGTGTAGTTAAGTAACATTAGAACACAAAAGACGAACTTGTGATAACAAGGCAATTCCTGATGAAGCACTACCAACAGGATTCAGATGAAGTGGATAATTCCACATCTGTGAAACCATGAAAAGTACGATCCAGCAAAGAAATGGTCATTGATGATAAATTTAATATTCTAATGGCAAAATTTTAGAACATATTTAACTTAAAAATGGTTAAAGTTTTGAAATGGCAACAGGCTGAACACATCATGGCTAACTAACAACTCAAATTCTTAGTATGGTATTAAATCTCACAACATTGACTGTCAACAGAAATGATGAGAAACACTGAACACAAATTTTCAAGTAAAAGGGGAAAAAGTAGGGGATGGGGGAAGGTACCATACAGAAACTGTATAAATGTCGATTAAGCTTTACTTGAAGTCCACAGGCCATTATACATGGCAGAAAACTAAGAGCAACAAAACTTCTGATCTGGGATACGAGCAGAATTCAACTTAAAAATAAAAAAATTTATACACAATGAACACGGCGTGACCATCCAATTACTGAATGTGTATATTTTATAATGTTAAGCACATCACCTTTCAATTTCCAGAGTCATAAAAGGTACGCAGCATGGAAATAAGCCCTTCAGCTCAACCAGTTAATGTTTCCTAACATAAACTAGTCCCATTTGCCTTTGATTGGCCCATATCCCTCTCAACCTTGCCAATCCACTTTCTTGCCCAAATGTCTTTTAAATGTTCTAACTGTATCCACCACTACCACTTCCTCTGGCAGCTCATTCCCTATACACACCATCCTCTGTGTGAAAAAATTGCCTCTCTGGTCCCTTTTAAATCTTTCCCCTCACACCTTAAACCTATGCCCTCTAGTTTTGGACTCCCCTACTGTGGGGAAAAGACCTTGGCTATTCACCTTTATCTATGCCCCCACGTGATTTTATAAACCGCTAGAAGGTCACCCCTCAGCTTCCTATGCTCCAGCAAATAAATCCCAGCTTAACAAGCCTCTTTTTATTATTCAAACCTTCCAGTCTCCATAACATCCTTGTTAATCTTTTTTTGCAAGCTTTCCAAATACCTGCTTTCATCCTTTATTTGTTTGCATGGGATAAGAGAAATAGCTGTATTTGTAGGCCAGCATGGATAATATGTGGGAAACAAGACACAATCAACAACCAATTGCATTGTGTTCTTTTCACTGTCGGGTAGTGGAATCACCATTATAGCCCATTTTTAGCTGTCAAGTGATGGTGACAGTCCTTCCTCAATTGTGACAGAGCAAGCAGTATTCTTAACAGCAGTTCATTCAATTGAGTGGCTTGTTGAGTTACTTCAGAGAGTGGTTAAGAGTCAGCTACAGTGATGTGAGACAAGAGTGACCCATGAACCAGACTAGGTAAGGACAGTAAAATTCCTGCTTGTAAGATCATTAGAGAATCAGCTGGGTTTTTACAATAAAATAGCTTTACAGTCACTTTTATTGATATAATTCCATATTTTCTTTCAAAACTGAACTCTAAATTTTGAAACTGCTGCTATAGTCTGTCCAGTAGTATGCTACCATACTCACGATGGATTTCTTTAATCATAGTTGTATTTAAAATTTGTCACGTTAATAGCACTATACAGTTGGCTGCTTTCATTCTGAAAGATATAATCGAGGCAAAAAGAAAGGCAGTCTTCTAACTCATTACTTCCACAAATTCCTCAAAAATCTGATTTAGCTGTCAACTTTATGATAAACCAGTATGAGCACTGTTTAAAAAAAGGCTTGTACTCAGGAAAGTTCACAAGAATACCAATTAAAAGGTGAAAGTATTGCAAAGCCTCTACCAAACAGATCAACTTGCTACCCAGTGAACGCAATCTTCTCAGAGTATAAAATATTACTTTTCACATCGAATTGACATTCTTGAAGAACAAATCTCAACAAAACACAACTTTATAGGAATTACAGAACACAAGCGTGTTATTGAAGATAATGTTTTAAAGACACTAGTACTCAAATCACAAAACATTTCCTTGTGGCAACAAACATATCCCACAAACTGAAACATGAGAAATGAAATTGTTTATTGATTCACATGAAGTACTGAAATTCCTTTCCGAAAAACAGAAGCCATACCCGCTAGGAGTGAAATTTCCTCTAACAACTTCTTTTGCTTTTTCTTTAACAGTTCCTTTTCCCTGAATAGTTCTTCTGACTGCAAATCCAAGTCACTGATTACATCAATGGCCTGGAAAGATAAAAATCAAGACAAAAGCACATGACTAACATGGTGCTAGATACTACTGAAGCTAGAAATCACTACTAACACTTTGATAGGCCACTACGTAAGAAACCTCTACAGGCAGTAGTGTTTTTTTTGTGGCACTTTCAGTGGAATGGAATATTGCAACAGAATGATTTAACCTCTTCATAAACAGAAACAACAGGAAATCCAGTTGAAGAAGCTACTCCATTTGTAGTGGTGCAATTTCATGATGGAACTTATCAAAAATGCTAAAAGCCAAATTGATGTGGAAAATCTTCAAATTAAATACTTTCATGGTCATTAGGGTGTGCTAGTGCACGACATGGAAGTCAGTAGTACATAAAAAAAAAATCAAACAACGTTGTTTCGGGCAGTTCTTGCTCAGGCACCATTCCCAAGCCCCTTTTCATTAAAACATGATGATTCAGTTGCCAAAGTACTGCTCTTATGATTCCCGTTTGCTTAAATGAAACAAATTTTCAGTTAGACTTGAGCCTCAACACAGTGTCACACACAGCCCATCAGCATAAATTCACTTTAACAAAATCATTAAGAATTAGTGTTACCAAGTTGAAAAACAATGGGGAAGGGAGCATTAAGCATAAGGTGTCAAGTGATTATTCTACTCTGCCAGCCTTTCCTTAAACAGACTCAACAAAACCTCAGGCTTCCTGTCATCACCTCCTTCCTTCAACCAATTTTCCTCTTTCCTCAGGGATTAGTACAAGGTTTCATTGCTGTTGAGTTGTCACTCAAGTGTCAACTGTTCATGGATTAGCCTTGAATGATTTAAATATTCAACCAGAAAGAGCACCAGTGGCTACATACAGATGCTTACAGTTTGAAGAAAAGGTATGGGTGGAAGGACATAAATAGAGAGAGCAGAATTTTATTTTCTGAGGGTTGTATGACTATGGAACACTGCCTCACAAGACAGGAGGCAAGATCATTGAATATTTTTAAGACAGCTTCCTCCTGCGCAGGCCGAACAAGGATTAGTGGGGTTTGATGAGAATGTGAAATTCAAAACATTGAGATCAGCTATGATCTTACTGACTGGCAGAACAGGTTTGTGCTGCCAAATGGCCTACTTCTACTCCTAGTTCATATGCTGGGGGGGAATGCTGGGATGGTGTCGCTGGATGAAGTTCATTTGGAAGATTTCCCCTGCTCTTCTATGCTATTGATACAAGAGTTTAATTGTAGTACCTCTGTACAGCCATCATGGCCTTGTGGCACTTTTCAAAGCATGTGAGAATTCTCCTTGGTAATATTTATTCCTTAATCAACAATTTGATCAAATTACTTTTCTGGGATCATGTCAGGCAAATAGTCGCTGCAAGAGACTTGGAGGTCTTTTGGTCAGTGAATGGGTTGTGAATCTTTAGAGTTTTAAGTGACAGTATGGGGTTGTGTTATGGAGTGAATGAAAGACAGGTTGATACAATTTTGGGCATTAAGGGAAGCAAAGGGTATTGGAATAATGTGGGAAGGTGGATTTGAGATAGAAGAGGGATATTGTGAAGTCTAAAGCAGGCTCTTGCATTATCAAACACAACTGAACACCATAACACATAAGACATTAGGACAGATAACCAAGTTTTTTGTCAAAAAAGGACCATTTTAAGTAGTGTCTTAAAAAGGAGGTAGAGAGCAAAAGTTTAGGCGAGGAATTCTAAATCTTAGGGTCTAAGCAACTGAAGACCTGGATGTCGAAGTTGGAAAGTTTGCCAGACTGTAAGCCAGTGTAGATCAGTGAACTCAGTGATAGATAAACAAATTTGGTGCAAGGACACAGACAGCAGAGCTTTGGATGGGTGAAACCAGCCTGGAACTGAATGAAATAAATCAAAAGTAAAAGCATGGATGATAGTTTTAAGTAAATGAGGAAGGCAGGGATGGAAATTGACAATACTGCAAAGGTGGAAGTATGTGGTCTTTGGATGGATGGGACAAATAAGAAGCATACTTCATGGTGAAATTAAACTGTGAGACTGTACAGCCTTAGTGGCTGGGGGAATTGGTGCCAAGGGAATGCAGGTTATGGTGGGGACAAAGTGTCTCCAAAATTGCTGGAGGGATTTTCTGCTCATCTAAAAAAGCAGTGTGACAAATCCAGAACACTACAACTGTTTTGGAAAGTTCAAGAAAAATTTGGGGTGGGGTGGGGGGTGGACATGATAATCAAGTATGCAGATGCACAAAGATTGGCTGGATGATTACTGTGAGAAGGAAGGTATTTGGTCACGGGAGGATACAAACAGATTGGTCAGGTAGGCAGATGGAAATTGATCCTGATAAATGCGAGATGATAATAGTTAATAGGGAATTAAGGAAGCATATAGGACACTTGCCTTTATCAATCGTAGCATAGATCATAACAGTAGGAAGGTCATATTGGAGCTATACAGAACTTTTGTTAAGCCACAGGTGGAGTAGAGTGTAGAGTTCTGGTTACCACACTAACAGGAAGGATATGATTGCACTGGAGGGGGTGCAAAGAAGATTCACTAGGATGTTGCCTGTGATGGAGCACTTCATTTTGTAAGTACAGGCTAGGTAAGCTTGGCTTGCTTTCTTTAGAGCAGAGAAGATTGAGGGGTGCCTGTTAAAGGTGTATAAGATCATAGACAGAGTGGATAGAAAGCAGCTGTTCCCCTCAGTCGAAGGGTCAATAATAAGAAAGCATAATTTTAAAAAAAGGTGAAAGGCAGGTGGTTTAGTGGGGATTTGAAGAATAACCTCTTCACTAGAGGCTGAAGGAGGTCTGGAATGCATTGCTTGGAAGGGTATTTGTGGCAGGAAACCTCACAAACTTCAAAAAGGATAAAAAATAAACTTGGACAAACATTTGGAAATGTCAAAATATTCAAGGTTATATGGGTCTAGTGTGAGAAAGTGGAACTAGTGTAGGCAGAATATTTTGGTGGTACAGACTCGATGGGCCAGAGTGCTTCTTCTGTACAATTCTCTCCACAGATGCTGCCAGACCTGTTGAGTATCTTCAGCAATTTCTGTTCGTTTCAGATTTTCAACATTCACAGTCTTTTGTTTCTATTCAAGAACTAGGAGGAGGTCAAAGATGAATCCCTGGGAAGCTTTAGGGGTAACTAAAACAATGTACTCGAATCCATTAGTAAAAAGACCAAACTTGGCTCTTACACTCACTTACAACAGCAAGCTCTAACTAGCTGCGTCCAAAGGGCCAGAAGTCAATGCATTCTAACACTGACAACATGGAAGCAAATACTCAGGAGGGGCGGTTTAGGAGATAATAGTTATGTGATTTTTCAAAATATTAATTGCAAATTACAAAGATGCAACAAATCACGCCTTAAATAAAAAAAGTTACCAAATATACTATTAAAATAAAAACTATCGTGGGGACAGAAAGGGTGAAGAGTTCCTTTTTGGAAAGAATAATCTTTAAAATTCATCTGAACAAACCTTAGTGAGAATGGCACCTTTTGGAGCTTTTTTGTCATTGAATACAGTGCTCTCCAATAATTTAAAACGATTTTCCATCAACTTGCGTGATTCTCGTTCTCTCAGTGTATGTGATGTTGCCTTCCTGTTGGCTATCCAACCCCTAAATGGCTCACTGCACCGCTGTAGAATTAAAATCACAAAAGTACCAAGTCATGACAAAATGTAAATATAATAGTGTTGAATAATTACTAAGTAGAAAGTTGTGCATATTTTTAAACATTTTCTATTTCTCAAATAGGCTATCAACTTGAATTTTCTGATTACTTTAAAATTTAAATTAATAGTCAATTCCTGCCAGAGGCAAAAAATAACTATTTTCTTTAATTATCTCCCATTTCATTTTGACATGTTCTCCCCTTTTCTGTAAATGCAAATGTTTGCGTCTTTCACTTTGAGTTTTTAGTTGCAGTGAGGCCCCAATACATTTTGTTTGCACTTCCTCTCACCTCCTTTTCAAGTCCATTGTATCAATCACTATTAGTTATAGGAACAAAATCTAGTTTGTTCTCTACGAGTTCATAAAACCCTACTGAATTTCTGAAAAAAGTCAGTCATTTACTGCAAATATCACTCCACAATGAGGTGCAACTAGTTTCACACATTTAGAACAATGGCTACATTTGTTCAGAACTGAAGGTGCCAGCCAGGAGGGTGATAGCTAAACAAAAATTACTAAAGTTTTTGCCTGCATTAACATGCCAGTGAGTATATTTCATTAAATTCATCACCAGCCAACTTTCAACAAGCAGCTTATATCCTACTAACTGCAATTCATTATCTCTGACTCTTCCACCTAGTCGAGTGCCATCGAATTATTTGTAATAATGCAGCCTACACTTTCACTGAGTTGAAAGCAGACATTTATAATATAGCTGACAACCTATATTTTTGATGTCTGGGCTAACAGTTGTTTGAAGGGATTACCTGAAGGCTCTGACGAGAACATACTTATGGGTATAGATGCACAGGAAAGACTGGGCTGCAGGCGAGTAACTGGAGGCTCTGCACCTTCAACAGAAAGAACCACAACTCAAAAGGGCTTGTCCCTTTGCAGAGTGTCCATGCTGCATGTAGGAGGATGGGATCAAAACATTCTCACATTTTGCAGCAAATGTACTGTTTGCATGGACTTCCTGGCACTTGTTATCACTCTAGCAAGCGTTCATCCTAACAGGCTCCCAAATGTGGTCAGTTTACTAATGGCAACTACTGACCATCCTTCAGGGTAATGATATTCCTGATGTTATATATTTGGAGTTTTAGAAAGCATTTGATAAGGTACCACACGTTGGGCTCTCATCTTATTTAGAAGCCTATGATGTCAAGATAGTGTATCAGCATGGAAACAGGACTGGACAACTAATAGATGACAGTTGAGGCAAGGGGAGCATTATCTGGATGACAACCTACAACTAGTGGAGTGCCACAGAGATCTGCATCACAATTACTCACAATATATAGTAATGACTTGAATGAGGGAAGTGAATATACTATAACCAAGTTTGTCGAAGACACAATACCGAGAAGACGAGAGTTGTACAGGGATACAGACAGGTTAAGCAAGTGGACAAAAATGTGGCTGATGGGAAGATGTGAAGTTATGTAATTGGCAGGAAGAACAGAAGAGCTGAACATTATGTAAACTGAAACAGACCACAGAAAGCAGAGGGAGATTTGGGAGCCTTCGTGCGTAAATCACAAGGAGCTACATCCAAGTTCAGTAGGTAGTAGGGGAAGCAAATGGAACGCTGGCCTTTATTTCAAAAAGGTAATGGAGTATAAAAGTAGGGAGGTTTTGCTAAAACTATGAGGCACAAGTCAGACCACAGCTGGAATGTTGTGAATAGTTTAGGGCCCCTTATTTAAAGGGAAGATATATCGGCATTGGAGCCAGTTCATGGAAGGTTCACTAAGCTGATCCTCGGTATGGAGGGGCTGATTTGAGGAGAGGTAGAGTAGGTTGTGCCTGTACTCATTGGGATTCTTATGACACTTGATAGAGTCAATGCAGAGAGGTTGTTTCCCCTTGTGGGAGTTCCGAGGGCTTATGGGGTCACCCACTTAAAAGGAGGAGAAATTTCTTCTCAGAGGGTGGTGAATGTGTGGAATTCTTTACCACAGACAGCTGTAGAGGCTAGATATTTAAATGTATTCAAGGCGGAGTTAGATTTTTAATCAGTAAGGAAATCAAGGTTATGGTGAAAGGACAGGAAAGTGTTGAGGATTATCAGATCAACCATGATTTCATTGAATGGTGGAACAGACTCAATGGGCAACTTTTGCTCCTATGTCTTATGATCTTATGGAAAGTTCAAAACAAAGGCAAAGAAAAGTGACACATGGACTTTGGTACACATTCAATAGCAATATTCCTTTTTAAATAATTCAAGAAACAAATTACAGGGAGATGGAGCCAGCTCCAAAAAGCAGCACCAACTGGTCTGATCTGTAGAAGAGTTGGATGGACTGCTATACTTTTCTAGTGTTAGGATTTGAACAATATGATGCCAGAGGTCAGCTGATCCATACAGTGCTACTGACTGACCAGCCAGCATATCTTACTGGTCAATTCTGAAGTAGTAAACCCACTACTTAAGGTGGATTCTTTCCTCTATCACCAAGAGTCCAACAAAGGATAGCCATCAGAAAAAGACTGACATTGTTCTCAACAACAAATTGCTCAATTGCTTTGGTTAAGTGTTAGCAGTATTTGTGTGGCTTTGCACCCCCATCCCCCAAAAAACATCTCCACTCCTTTATATGTTGCAAAGTCACCCTCCCCCATTGGCCATCGTGATGGAAAGGTTCTTTTAGTAGCTGATGCAAAGCTAGCAGATAAGTTGAGAGTCCCTGCATTTGGCTTTATGCACATAATTTCAATACGAGAAAGAACAAAACAATAACAAAAAAAATTTCTTGCTGAATAATAAATAGAAACAGGAGAAGTAAGATATGAGAAACTAACTCTCAAGACCATGGAGAATTAACATTTCTACTTCTGGCCTATAAAAATAAAGAAATGTCAATTTCTTCAGAATAAACTTCAAAGAACTACTCAGACCTTAATTGAGCTTAATTAAATAAAGTCCACTTTATACGTACCATGCTCATTTTATTCAAAGCCTCCATATCAGTGCCAAAATCTGAAAAGCTACAAAGCCTGGAGCTTCCTGAACATTCTTCATTTGCTGAGCTGACGGTGGAGCAATCTTCTTGGCTAAGATTTTCTTCTCTTTTCACTGCAAAAGTGTTGGTGCTGCCAGAATAGTCAAGTTCACTGTTACATTTTTCATTGAAGTAGTCACCGACCTTAACAGCAACTATATCATCGGAACCGGTCGAGTTCACCTCATATTTTAGATTTATTCCGCAATCTGTCCCATGCTCATCCAAAGGACCATCTTCTAGAAACCATTTCATTCCAAAGGAATTCTGGGAAGAGGAAACTCTCTCACTTGAGAAACTCAACGTCTCACCGGTTTCAATTATTTCACCAGCTTCAATGCCATCTTGTGTTATACCAGGTTCCATCTCTGCTAGGGAAGACACAGCTGTTCAATTGACCTAACTTGGACAAGCAGCTACAAAACAATCATTTTATGTTACAAGGTTGAGGGAGGTGGTGGCGTATTGGTAATGTCTTTGTAATAGTAATTCAGAGGCCCAGACCAATGTCTTAATTCAAATCTCACTACAGTATCAGGGAGAAACTAAAATTAATAATTAGAATATAAGGACCTTGGTAGTGGTTCCATGGAACAATCATCCATGGTCATAAAGGTTCACTAATATTATTCAGGGAAGAAAATCTGCCAACCTTACCTAGTTTGGTCTAGATGCGAGCCTCGGTCCACAGCAACGGGGTTGATTCTTAACTGCTCTCTGAAATGGCCAAGCCAGCCAACTCAGTGTGAGGATGGACAGCAATTGCTTGCCTTATTAGAGATCCCATGAGAGAAGAGCGGCGAATATGTTCAAACATTGGTGCATAGATTTATGTATAGTTTAGCTTGTGTTTATGACAGCGATACAATTATTCTTGATACTGTGATCGGATACAGCGTGATATTACTGTGTTCCCCTCATCCCAATTCTAAAACAGAGTGTGGTCAGCCCCGTGCAGCAATTTACCTAAATCTAGAATAATGCAGTGCGAGAGGAGGCCATTCTATCCATCATGTCTGCTGCTGGTTCTCTGAAGGAGCTATCCAATTAATCTGACTCTGCCCGCTCTTTTGCAAAAGCCTTGCAATTTTCACATCTCATATTTATTCAGGGACATTTGGAAAATTATAGTTGAACTTGTTTCCACTGCCTTCAGGCAACGGTTTCTAAATTTAAGATAATTTTCTTTTTTTTTGCTAATGTCCCCTCCAGTTGGTGGAAATTTCTTATCAAAATGCAACCTTTCCTAACCTTCGCTGTACTAAGCAGAACAATCCTTGTTACTCTCATCTCTGCTCCTATCAACAATAAAAGACCTAATCTATTTAGATTCCTGGAGATGGAACACTATTTTTGGCCAAGATATCTAGGCCATGTGGTCCCTCAATCATGCTCTGTCATTCAATAAGATCACAGTGGAATTTCTACAGCAACGCATTCTTGCTCTCCTCATAATCTTGACTATCTCAACTTACTCAACCTTGAATATGTACTTCACAGACTGTGGATGCTTGAAGATTCACAATTCCCAAAGAGGAATTTCCACATCTTAGTCCTACATGGCAAATACTTTGTCAAGAACATTCTGGACCTCCTAAGGAAATAGCCACTTAGCACCGACCTTGTCAAACCCACTTCAGAATGTATATTTCAACAAGGTCAACAAATATACTCCAAATTACTTCAGCACTAGAAAGCTTCTTTTTAAAATAGCTAAAAGGTCTTACCAGATAACAGTGAGATCTTTTCTAACAGGATTTTCTGTTTTCCCAAAAGTAGTTCCTTCTCCATTGTTAGATTTTTGGATTGCCTATCCAAGTTATTGATTACATCAATGGCCTGTAGAACAAATTAAAATCATAAAAAAATTCAACTTATAGTTTCAGAACTTCACATGATTGTGGCTGCTGTGCATTGCAAATATTCCATTTATAGCTTCTTTCCAATTTTTAATTCAATTCTATGGACAAGCACATACCATACAAATGTCTCATTTCTTGCTCAACTTCTCAGCCATATTATTAATTTGAATCAAAGCAATGAAAAACACCACCCCCTCTGTCGTGGGAAGCATTTACCCTGATACCTTTAGTGTCTAGATATCCATTTGTTTCTCACATATATGGTTGTTTCCGCTGACAATGGCAAAAAGGTTCTCACTGCCCATGCTTAAAACTGGTGCACACAGTACCCTGCCAGTACTACAATGACCTCAATCTGTCCTGACTGCTGATATCGATTGTGGTTATTTGGGCAATGTTGGAGTTGCCATATTTTTGCATATGTGTAATAAGAACAGTGTCAGGGGACACAGGCCATTCAGTGACTCGAGTGCTCTACTGCCTTATATGGTAGAGAATTCCACAGATTCACCATCTTCTGGAGTTCAGAAATTTCTCCTCACCTCAATCCGACATAATCTACCCTGTATCCTGAGACCGGTGACCTATTGATCTGGAGACCCAACAGCAAAGAGGAAAATAAACCTATGATTACTCTGTCTAGCCTGACACAATTTTATATGTTTGATCGAGATTATGTTCTGTTTCACTGCCAAATAATTACATTTTTTGTAAACAAAATCCAGTTCAGAATTTACATAATTAGAACATATTATTCATGAAATTACATAATCAGTATCTGACAAAATTAACCAGGAAATCAAGCATTTGATTTTTCAGTAACCAAATGAGACTGGTCCTCTTAATTTACTTAGAAGCCTCATGGCAGTGCCCAACAAACTAGAAAAGTGAGAAAAAATACCTAATTGCTGTAAAATGTGTTCTATCATTACAAAGGTCCAACATGTACTGGAAAATGAAGTGCAAATATATTTATTGAAAAACTGATGGTGTAAATCCTGGTGCTTCTTGCACTACAATCAAATGAATTATTCACAAACCTCATCAAGGATGGCACCCTTTGAAGCAATTTGTCGGTCATCAAAAAGTTTATTCTTCAATACTTTAAAACGATTTTCCATCATCCTGCGTGACTCTCGTTCTCTCAAGTTGTGTAATATTGCCTTCTTTCTAGCTTCACATAGCACAGAGGGTTCATATACCTAAAGATTGACAAAACCCCATTGAGAAAGTGGCTGGAATGCAGCCTCACTGAGCTATCTAGCTTTGGGCAATGTTAGTAGCACAGTCAATATTGTCTGATGCATTAAAAACTAGGTTTGAAGTTAGTGATATACAAATGACCAGGCAACAGAAGTACATTTATTTAGACTCACCTTTTTTTTAGTTGAATGGCTGAATGATTGTGAATTCTGGAAAAGTCCCCTAGAAAACAGGAATGGTTTGTACAGTCATCTGCAGTCTATTGGTATAAGTGAATCAGAAGACAGGGATTAACAAATGGATGCATGATGATACGAAATGCAAGGAAAACACTGAATTACAATTGCCACAGGTTCACAAGGATGCCTTTTCAAAATTCTTGCTAAAAGCTGGATATGCAGTATCCAAAAAGTAGCGCCCAGGTCAAATAACTATGGATAGGGGCTCTCTCATTTTTTGAATGTAGATCTTTCAAGGGCAATGAGGGACTACAAACCTTCCATGTGTGCTTACAGACTGTGGGCAACGGGGGAAGGGAGGGGAGCTAGGGAGGTGGGGTGGCAGGGAGAAAACCTGCCTCTAGACCAATTTATACTTAATGGATTTACCCAGCACATTGTTTCTAAAAGAGGTAAACTATTGCAATAAATGCAAGTTCTCGAAACTGTGTTTAGATTATAACCTTGTGTACACCACCCGGGCAACAACAACTTTCAACTGTAAGGGTGAAGCTAGAATGAGAAATCAGTGGGGAAATACTCCACTGGTTGGTATCATACCATGCACAAAAAGGAAGAGGCTATGATGGTGGGATGCCAAACATATCAGTCTCAGGACAGTCAGGACAACTGCAGAAGTTGCTCACGGTGGTGTCCTAGGCTCAACCATCTTCAGCTGCTGCACAAATGACCTTCCCTTCACCAAAAACTCAGATGTGGGAATATTCCCTGATAACTGCATAACGTTCAGCACCGTTCATTATTCCTCAGATACTGAAGCAGCAAGTCCTGGACAACATTCAGGTTTAGGCTGAAAAACCATGAGGCATTTGCTCTCTAGTGCGACCATCTCCAACAAGTAACACATTCCCTGACTCTCCAAAGCTTACCCATCATCTACAAGACACAAATCCGGATAGCGATGGAACAACACAGGATGGCACGAAGGTTCAGTGGTCAGCACTGCTACCTCACAGCGCCAGGGCCCCAGGTTCGTTTCCACCCTTGGGTGACTGTCTGTATGGAGTTTGCACATTCTCCCCATGTCTGCGTGGGTCTCTGCTGGATGCTCCAGTTTCCTCCCACAGTCCAAAGAAGTGCAGGCTAGGTGAATTGGCCATGTTGAATTGCCCATAGTGTTCAGGGATGTTTAGGTTAGGTGTGTTAGCCATGGGAAATTAGAGTTACAGGGAAAAGGTAGAGGGATGCTCTGCAGAGGGTTGGTGTGGGCTTGTTGGGCCAAATGGCCTATTTCCACACTGGAAGGATTCTATGATTCTACGATCTCTACTTGTTTAATCTTGGAGCTTCACCAATCCAGACAAGATGATTTTTACCATTTAGGTCAACGCAACCCAAATTGCACTCCATTAATCACCTTATACTTATTCACTCCTTTGCCACATTGGCAGCAAGATTCACTACTACAGTAACTCACCAAGGGTCCTTCAATAGCAACTTTCAAACCTGTGAACTCTACAACTTGAAACAGAAGAGTTGCAGATTCATGGGAATCACCACCCTACAAGCTCCCCACCATGCCACATGAGCCTGACCTGGAACTACATTGCCACTCGCACCCTACGACAAAATCCTGGAGCTCCCTTCAGTGATTTAAGGTGGCAACTCACCACATTTTTGAAAGCACTTGGGGATGGGCAATAAATAATGGCCTAAACACCAACATTCACACACCACAAATTAGTAAATTAGAAAATTAGAAACAGTAATGGAACTTTCTCAGATAAATAACTCTTACACGAATGGGATAGGTTTAGAAACCATCTTATCCTGTGTGGATAAATTAACAAAGAGTCTGAACTTTATGAAAGATCACTTTAGATGAAAAGACTTTTTATTCCATTTAGTTACTCCATTCTCAGATGCCAATTCTACCGTCTTGAGATTCTTTCCATGCCTGAATATGCTCTGTACAAAGAAATGCTTTGCCATCTTAAATTTTTTCTTTACAACTATATCTCAAACTTCCTATTCCAGTTTAGCGTGCAAGTCCAAACTAATGCAGTCTAACATTCTGCCAAATTACCTGTACAGCAGGGGTCAGACATATTTTAAGAGGTAAATCTTCGTTTAAATCTTCACAATGTTAGTTAAAGATAAAAGAACACAGGAGTTTTCTCAATTAACACAATCCCCTTTTTGGATAGAACGCATATTATAATGTATATCCACTGTATATGAAAATATTGCTTCATGTTCACATCCTTTATTCAATATTCTACATACTGTGGGCATTCAGAATAGGTTTATAAATATTGTATTAATCATTACTGACCTGTGTGGTACTGCAGGATTATTGACAATTGATGAATTTCTTGCAAATCTTGAATTTGACACCAGGTTTCCAACCCCATCTCTATTTCTATTGCTTGAATGAGTCTGCACGAGGTAAGGAAAAAGTTCTCACAGTAACAACCAATGGCAGAACAATTGAAACACATCAGGTAAAATACAATCTGAAGAATGGTCCCATGGAATAACAGCATCAGTAATAACGCGTGGCAGTAACGTGCAGCAGTCAGAGTCATTGGGTCATACCGCATGGAAACAGATCCTTCGTCCAACTAGTCCATGCCGACCATTATCCCAAACTAAACTAGTCCAATCTGCCTGTGTTTGACCCATATACCTCCAAACCCTTCCTATTCATGTATTTAGAGAAATGTCTTTTAAATGTTCTAACTGTTCCTGCAGCCACCGTCTGGCAGTTCATTCCACACATTAATCACTCTGTGTACAGAAGTTACCCCTCATGCAGTTTCAAAATCTTTCTCCTCCCACCTTAAAAATATGCCCGTGCGTTAAACTCCCCCATCTTAGGGAAAAGACCTTTGCTATTCATCTCATGATTTGATAAGGTCATCCCTCAACCTCCTTAGCTCCAGTGAATGAAGTCCCAGCTTATCCAGCCTATTTTTCTAACTCAAATCCTCCATCCCTGGCAACATCCTGGTAAACCTTTTCTGAACCCTCTCCAATTTAATAATATCCTTCCTATAGTGGGGCAACCAGAAGTGTAAACAGAAGAGGCAACGTCCTATACAACCACAACATAATGTCCCTGCTCTTATATTCAAAGGCCTGAGCAATGAAGGCGAGCATGTTAAACACCTCCTTAACCAGGCCGTCCACTTGTGATGCAAATTTCAATGAATTACGTACCTGAAACCCTGTTTACAACACTACCCAGGGCTGTACCATTAATTGTACAAGTCCTGCACTTGTCTGTCTTACCAAAATGCAATACCTTGCATTGTCCATCTGCCGCTCCTCAGCCCATTGATTCAATTGAAGTTCTCCTCACTGTCCATTATACTACCAATTTTGAAGTCATCTTTAAACTTACTAACCATGCCTCCAATATTCTCATCCAAAACATTTATATAAATGACAAACAGAAGTGGACCCAGTACCAAACCCTGTGGAACACAGCTGGTCACAGTCTTCCAGTCCAAGAACCAATTCTCCACCACCATCGTGTCTCCAACCGTCAAGCCAAATCTGTATCCAATTAGCAAGCTCACATTGAATCCCATATGATCTATGGGCTACCACTGGAACATTAAAGGATTTATTAAAATCCAAGTAAACAAGGTCTACAGCTCTACCGTCAATCTTCTCGGTTACTTCCTCAAAAATCTCAATCAAGTTGGAGAGAAATGACTTCCCTCGCAAAAAACCATGCTGACTATCCCTAATCATTCCTTGCCTCTCCAAATGCACGTAAATCCCATCTTTCAGAGTCACCTCCAACAACTTACCCATCACCGTTGTCAGACTCACAGGTCTATGGTTCCCGGGCCTTTCCTTAGACTTTCTTAAATTAAGGCACAACATTAGCCAACTTCCAGTCCTTTGGCACCTCACCTGTGGTTATAGATGATACAAATACTTCTGCTAGGAACCCCGCAATTTCCTCCCTTACTTCACACAATATCCTGGGATACACTTGATCAGGTCTTAGAGATTTATCCACCTTAATGCTTTCGAAGACTTACAGCACTTCCTCTTCTGAAACGGTTTTTAAAATATCAATATTTATTTCTGCCAAGTTCTCTAGTCTGTTTCTTTTTACACAGTAAAAACTGAAGCAAAATATTCATTTAATATCTCCCCCATTTCCTGAGGTTCAACATAAAGACAACCTCATTGATCTTTAGGGGCTATACTCTTTCTCTAGTTCCTCTTAAGGCACTGGTAGAATCTCTTTGGATTATCCTTAACCTTATCTGCCAAGGCTACCTCATATCCCCTCTTTGTCTTCCTGATATCCCTCTTTATACTCTTCAAGGGATTCACTTGATCCCAATTGTCTATATAGTATATGATTTCTTTTATTCTTGATGAGAACCTCAATATCTTTATTCATCCATTGATCCCTAATCCTACCGACATTACCTTTCACTCTATCAGGAACATAATGCCTCTGAATTCTTTTGAAAGCCTTCCACTTGTCAGTTGTCTGTTTACTTGTGAACAGTCTACTCTAGCCATCTTTTGATAAATTCTTGTCTCATACCATTAAAATTTGCCTTATTCTAATTAACTAACTTTTATGCTTATTCTTTTCCACAATTCTATTAATTTTAAAATAGTTATGAATCACTAGTCCCAAAAAGTATTCACCTACTTACACTTCAGTCACTTAGCCTGCCTTATTTCCCAAGAGGAGGTCAGGTTCCTTCTCTAGCAGGAACATTTACATTTTCTTTATCACAATTTTCTTGAACACACTTAACAAATTCCCCATCAGTCCCAATATTTGAAAAAATTAAAACTCCCTACTATTAAGTCACAGCAGCATTTCATAAAACGATAGAAGCCCTGCAGTATGGAAGCAGGACATCTGGCATATCAAATCCACACCAACTCTCCGAAGAGCATCCCACCCAGACCCATTCCCTTATCCTATCCCTGTAACCTTGTATTTCCCATAGCTAATCCACTCAACCTGCACATCCCTGAACACTATGCGCAATTTAGCATGGTCAAGCCACCTAACCTGCATATCTTTGGATTGTGGGAAGAAAAAGGAGTACCCAGAGGAAACCCACGCAGAAATGGGGAGAATGTGCAAACTCCAACAGACAGTTACCCAAGGCTGGAATCAAACCTGGGTCCCTAGTGCTGTGATAAAGCAATGCTAACCACTGAGCCGCCATGCTGCCCATTTGAGACAGAAGTGGGGATTTCTTTCTCGTACAAATGACTGCTGGTAATTCTTCAAGCTTAATGCCCAATATGTTCTCAGAATAGGTTTCTTGTTTGCCTGAAAAGATGACTCTGCTAGCACATTATGCAGTGCATTCAAACAGGGAGAATTAAAAAACGTAGTTGTGGTAGGTGACATCACAACAACTGAAATTGGAAGTGCTCAAGTAAAAGCAAAGCAGTGCAGATGCTGGAGATCTGAAATAAAAGCAAAGTGCTGGAGAAACTCAGCAACTGTGGAGATAGAAACAAGAGTTAATGTTGAGTCCAAATATGACATCCTCAGAACTAGAATCAAAGACAACTTTAGAACCAGAATCAGAATCAAAGTTCAGTTTTTGGACTTGAATCATGAACTTTGTTTCTCTCTCCACAGACACTGCTAGACCTGCTAAGTTCCCCCACTACTTTCTTAATTAAATCGGACTTAGGAGAGGTGGTAATATTACTGACTAGTAATCAAGAACACAAGGCTAATGTTATGGGAAAGTGGGCTTGAAACCCACTGTGGCAGATGGTGAAATCTGAATTCAATAAAACCTGGAATTAAGTCTATACTAATGGTGACTGTGCAACCCCTCGATTGTTGGGAAAAAAAATCTGGTTCACTAACGCCCTTCACAGAGGGAAACGTGCCATCCAATATCAGTCTGGCCTGCACATTACACCAGACCAACAACATAGTTGACTGTCACGGCCCTCTGAAAATGGTCAAGCAAGCCACTCAGTCCAAGGGCAATAAGAACGAACTCCAAACTTTGGTTTGCCAGCAATGTCCATATCTCACGCAAACAAAAGAAAAGTTGGGAAAGTTGCGTTGTTAGCCCAGCACTTGTGTTAAAAGACATTTCTCATTATAGGAGACACTGAGCAGGATCCAGTTGCTGTGGTCCATTGAGGAACCACCAACATAAATAAAACTACAAATAATTTAGACACCATCAGATTATTAAAATGACCAAAGCTGTAGTGCAGCTAATAGTGAACCCTTGCAGCAGTTATAATGCCTGATCAAACAGGTTCCACAAAAAGATCCATATTCCCAGGACAAAAACAAGTAGCTGCATTAACCAGGTGGATAGCATGCACCAACTGTACCATCTAGGTATGGAGGAGAATAAGGTGGTGCAAGGACAAAAAAGGCTCATAGCAGGCTTTTCAATATAGCACAACCAGGTTACAGCAGGACTCTGAGTAGTTATTAAGATAAAGCAAATTTACAAAAGTGAATGTCAGCGCAACTTGTGTGATACAAATGCAGTAACTTGTCAAGTGCATTATAACCCTGGAAAACCAGATTTACAGCAGGTGCCTGCATCTTCAATTCAAGAACTTTGAGCTGAATTTTAAGTTGAGGTGCATACATTGTGGAGCACTTGTATCTAAGAGGTAGTCACACCTTTCCTATTTAGATGTGGTGTAATCTGGCTCATGGTCAGAGTGTAACTGCAATACAGAAATATAAAAATGGATCCCAGGTAAGGGGTAGGGGGCTGGGTCTGCTCTGTGAACACTCAGTAGTCAAGTATATTCAGGACAAATATTCAGAACATTTTTGGATACTAAGGAATATGGGGATAGTGCAGGAAGATAGAAATGAAATAAGTGGTTAGCCACAATTGTATTACATCAGGCTTGACGGGGCAAATGGACACCACCTGTTCTTTGCTGCACTACCTCCAATCCATGTATGTCCTTCCGTAAATATGGAGACCAAAGCTGCATGCCACAGTTCCAAATGTAAACTCAAAGGTCAAAGTCACTCCACTGAGGGATTACGGTTGATTTAAAACAGCAAATAAGGATTGGATAAGGAGGTTCAGAGGAAGATGCTAATCCAGACATGGACGACTGAATGATCAGATGGGAGAATGAAAGAAAAATTCATGATAGAATGCACTATTGCCAGATTTAACCCACTAGAAAACAAGCAAACTAAAATAATTTCAAATTTTTTTTGTCTCTTCTCAGTGCACCAAAATAACTGCAGTAAAGGGAAGGGAGTGGCCTGGTATTATTGCTAGAATATCAGTGTGAAATCATTAATGTTCGGGGGATCTGGGTTTGAATCCCACCGTGGCAGATGGCAAAATCTGAATTCAATTTAAAAAAAAATAAAATCAATCTGGAATTAAGAGTCTCACCATTGTCAATTTTTGTCAGAAAAAACCCAATATGGTTCATTGATGCCCTTTAAGAAAGGAAATGGCCATTATCACCTAGTCTGACCTACCTATGACCCCAGACCTACAGCAATGTGGTTGACTCTTAACTGCCCTCTGGGCAATTAGAACAGGCAAGAAATGCTGGCCTAGACAGTGATGCCTGCATCCCGTGAATAAATAAAAAAAGTATGAATGTGAAACATCATTTAAGACTGATTAATACAGTAAGGCATTGTACTGTCACGAGTGTTACAACAATAAAATTGTAAGCTCCAATTTAGCTAGTTTCTGGATTTTCTCCTCCCTATTAATGGGATAGTCAATAAGCCAAAAAATGTATATTTTCTTCAGAACTATTAATTATTTGTAACGTACCTGCACACCTAACTCAGCTTCAGTCACAGCTTCTGTATTTAAATTGAATGAACGGTTCCAGAACTTGGAGCTCCTAAAGGACTCTTCTCTCCATGCAGCAAAGCTATTGTCTTCCTCATCATTCAAAGGTTCCTCTTTTACGGTTACAGTGCAGATTTCAGGGCCATCAGGATCCATGGGCTCATCACCATTTATTTCTGGTAAATCTCGCTCAACTTTAATATGGGTTTCACCTGGCTTGTTTGCATTAAGCTGAGATTTAAATTTTTCCATGCTACCTGTTCTTTTGCAACCTTCTGTAAATCTACTATCCTCAGGCACCCATTTTGTTTCACAGGCTCCGGTGACCGTAAGTGTCTCACTTTTGATAGGAAAAGTGTTAACAGTAACAGCTGTTTGATCGATTTCCCCTGGCTCAGAGGATTTCACTGGATTCATTTCAAAGTCAAACATGTCATTGCTTAAATTAACAAGATTTGCTTTTGTTTGGCAATCGGCCAAAGGAATGATATTGTCGTGCTGCTCAGCCTGTGTAGTGGTCTCTGAAAACATACGTAATGACTGGGATGGAGAAAGCTGATCTACCAATGTCCAAGTTGCAGGGCTACTCTGAAGTTGCTGCTTTGTTGTGGTTACATCACACAGCGGTGTGGAATTGTGCAAACTTCCAATACTTACTCCTGATAAACTGGTTTTGGTACACAGTTCCGAATCTGTAGCAGCTGTGTTACAAAGAGGAGTGTTAGCATCACCTCCCAAAGTAGTCGTCGTAGATGTGAGGATTTTGACCACTGAGGTTGTTCCTGTAATTGAAACATTTTGGCATTATTCTTCAAAATCATATAGTATATTGATTAAAAGGGAATCCCTGTTCCCAGTGTTCAGGCTCCCCACATTCCTCCATTGTGATTTACAAACGACTTGCATTTATAATAACACATTTCATGGCCAATGTTCCCTCTAAGGTACACTGCTGCTGTGAGAATCCACGTATGGCAATCTGCATTCCACTAGCAAGCCCTTTGAAACAGTTGAAAACGCAAAGCTAGTGGGAATGCTGTTCGTGATCATTGGATGTGTCATTCTTGTCAAGTTGAAGGTAAACCTTAACATGTGATTAAACCAGCACCCGAATCCTATGAGTTTTTGAGGAACCATTCAGTCATATAGGGCCATTACCTAATATGAAAGCCAGAAATGAATATATCCTTAATGTTATGGATACGACTACTTGATTTCCAGATGCCATTCCCGTAAGAACAATCAAAGTTAAAGTGGTAACAAAAAAAAAAACTCAGTTTTATATTTATCATGGTCTATGAATAGAAGCAAATCCTGATCAAGGGTCAAACTTTACATCAAAAATTTTTCAAGATATCATCAGAAGTTTGGGAATTAAAACAATTAAAGTTGACTGCGCACCATCTGCAGACCCAAGGTACTTTGGAGAGGTATCACCAAACTCGCAAAACCACGATCAAAACCTATTGTTATCAGTATCCAAAGGATTGAGACAAAGGTTTCGATTTTCTTATTTGCAACAGAGTCCAAATACGTGCAGGTCAGGTGGATTGGCCATAGTGATCAAAGATGTGCAAGCTAGGTGAATTAGAAAAGCTAATATAAATTTTCACGAATGAACCTGTAATTAGCAGCACCTGACTTTAACAAACTGTTTAAATTTGCAGTAGAGGCTAGCGATTTGGGGATTGAAGTAGTTCCTTTACAGGATGGCAAAACCGGAATGGAGGAGCCCATGGCTTAATTTTCAAAGCAACTAAACCAACAGAGAAGATAACAAATTATAAACAAGGAAGCATGGGAAGTGAGGGCAGCTCTTCAACACTTTAGAGTTTATGTTCAACACGGGAACTTTGAAATTGTGGTTTCTCCTGATTATAATCTTAACCTTTGGGGAACAGTTCAGAGTGAAAAAACTCCAAAGTTGTTCAAATGGAGATCAGATCTGCAACCATTTGACATAAAAACTTTTCCAGGAATATTTCCACGCGTATATTTCCAGGAAAGAAAATTTAATTGATGCTTTATCCTGAATCTAAGCTGTTGTGAATTTAAGAACATGACCAAAAGAGTTGAGTGGTGATTAAGAATTGGGTGGCCTATAAGAAATAGGAACAGGAGGTACCTCAAGCTTGCTCTGCCATTCAACAGGATCCATCTACTTATCTCAGCCTTAAATATACACAAGAACTCTGACCCACAGCTTTCAGTGGCAAGGAGTTCAAAAGATTCGCAGCCCTCAGAGAAGAAATTCCTCCCCATATCAGTCTTAAATTAGCACCGCTGTATTCTGAGGCTATGCTCTCTGGTCCTCAACTTTCCCATGAAGTGAAACATCCTCTCATCTTTTACCCTATCAAGCCCCTTAAGAATCCTAGGTTTCAATGAGATCATCTCTTATTCTTCTAAACTCCAGTGAGTAGGGTCTCAATCTATTCAGCTTTTGCTCTCAAGACAATCTCTTCGTACCAGGGATCATCTTAATGAACCTTTTCTAATCTGCCTACAACGAAATGACATCTATCCTTTGATAAGGGGTCCAAAACTGCTCACAGTACTCCAGATGTGGTCTCACTAGCACATTGTGCAGTTACCTTCAGACTTTTTTACTCATATCAAAGCTGTTGCAGTATAAGAGGGCCAACATTCCACTGGTCTTCCTGATTATCTGGTGCACCTGTGTGCTAGCTTTCTCCGTTTCATGCACATGCACCCCTAGCTCCCTTGTGTTACAGCTTGCTACAGTATTTCTCCATTTAATAATTCTGTTCTCCCTTTCAAAGTGATCAACTTCATATTTTCCCACATTATGCTCCATTTGCCAAGATTTTGTCCAATTACGTAACTTATCAATCTCTCTTAAACTGTATGTATTCCCTTTACAACTTGCTTTTCCACCTATTTTTCTGTCATCTGCAAATTTGGCTAGAGAAAGAATGACTGAGTTTTGTGTTGTTTGTTGTTTAAAGTATTGCTAACCTTGTATGAAACTTTTTTTTTAAATTGGTGTTTTATGTTGAGGGTGGAGGCATGTTAGAACCCTCATTGATTTTTCACTCATTTTCCCCCATTCTTTTACAAATTTTGGTTTAGAGCTGTGAATTGGGAACTGAGTGCTGAGATTGACATTTGGACTGTGAGCAGCAGCTTGTGCTTAAAAACTAAGAAAAAAAAAGCAGAATAAACTAGTTGTTGATTGTTTGAGGCCAGGCATACAATTTAATTACAGGTTAGTTCTTGATCAAAAGGATTCCAAAGACTCTTTGGTCAGGGGACAGCAGTATAAAGTCATAGGCTCATACAGCACAGAAACAGGCCATATGGCCCACCATATCTATATGATCAACAAACACCAGACACACTGTAGGGATTCTATGATTCAACACTAATCATAGCCTACTATACCCTAGCATTTCAAGTACTCACCCAAATGCTTCTTAAAACGTTGTGAGACTACCACTTAGGTAGCAGATTCCAGATATCTTCTACTCTCTGGATGAATTTATTTTTCAGATCTCCTCTAAACCAATTACTCCTCACCTTAGACGTATGCCCTCTAATCTTAGACATGCGTGCCATGGAGAAAGAAATTCTCATGATCTAGTCTGTCCAAGCCTTTCACTTTTGTACACCTCAGATACCCTTTCAGCCTTCTGTGCTCCAAGGAAAACATATCCAGCCTATCCAGTCTCTCCTCATAATGGAGACTTCTCATCCCAGGTAACATCCCAATAAATCTCCTCTGCATGCTCTCCAGCGTAAACCTGCCCTTCTGATTGTGTGGCAACCAGGGTTGCAAACAGCATTGCATCTGTGGCCTAACAGTTGTAAAGACTTCCTTGCGCCTATATGCGCTCTGGCCAATGTTTAACCAGATACAAGATGTTTGGCCATTAACAAGGTCAGTACCTAGAAACTAATGCCAGCAAGTCTAGAAAAGATGATGGTCAAACTGAAGAAGGGGCCAGAGTTCTAACTGACTTTTGGATGGAGTTTCTGAAAGGAGGAGTTTGGCTATTAATGCTAGGGCATGAAGATTTGAAAGTTACCTGCCTAACCTCTTAAGTAGTCTGGCAGCTTTGCTATTTTCTTTATCTCTTCGCAGTGTTTGTTTTTGTGTGATGGTACTGAAAAAAAGGTTATTGAATTTAAATCACAGACAATTAGATTACACTGTTGTTTAATGTTATTTACTGAAGAAGTTACTATACTGTTTGAGATTGGTTCTTCAAAAAATTTGGCTATGAACCAGTGAGGCCAATTTTAAAGGGTCTTTGAAGGTACTAATCTTACGGTGTTACTAAAACTGAGATGGGAAAACTGATTTGATTTGGCTGGCTGCCTCCAACTCTAACAATTATCAACAGTGCTCATTTCTTAATACCATACCTGGAATTGGTGACTGGGGAATGTTCAGCTGTTGCACTGGAGTCTGTTCTGGAGTCTTTGTGTAAACTAGCTGGAATATTTTCCCACTGGAGTGTCTGTACAACTGTCGGCCGTCAGCAGCCTTGATAGGCTGAAGCATCAGGTTATCTCCTGGCTGTAGTTTCAAAGTGTTTGGGACAGCAATGCATTGTCGACGACCATCTTGATCCAGAGAGGCAGCTGAACCTGACAAAAAGATAGGCCATTTAAAAAGCTTAATGACAAGCTGATGAATCATACTAATCCACACAGTTTATTGCTTCAATCAAGTCACCTCTTACTCTCCTAAACTCCAGTGGGTACAAGCCTAACTTATCCAAACTTTTCTCACAAAACAGATATTAGTTTGGTTCATCTTCTTTGAACTGCTTACAATGCATTTACATCTTTCCCTAATGAAGTTGACCAATATTGTACTTGTGTATTCAATTCCACTTGCAATAAATCATAACATTCCATTAGCTTTCCTACTTATTTGCTATACCCGAATATTAACATTTTGCACTAGGGCAGCCAGATCTCTCCGCATCTCGTAGATCTATAACGTTTAAAGTATTCAAACCTATGCTTTTTGGAAACAAAATCTTCCTGTCAAAATGGACAGTTTCACATTTTTCTACATTATACTCCATTTGCCAGATGTTTGCCCATTTGTTTCACTCATGAGACATGGGTGTCGCTAGCTGGGCCACCATTTATTGCTGACCCTAGTCGCCCTTGACATGGTGGTGGTGAGCTGCCTTCATGAACTGTTGCAGTCACTGCGCTGCAGGTAGCCCACAATGCCATTAGGGATGGAATTCCAGGATTTTGACACAGCGAGTGAAGGAATAGCAATATATTTCCAGGTCAGCATGGCAAGTGACTTGGAGGGGAATTTGCAGGTGGTGTTCCCATATATCTGCCTTTGTCAGTCTAGGTGCAGTGGCTGTGGGTTTGGATCTTTGATGGTGGTCAAGCTTTCGGGAGTCAGGAGATGCGTTACTCACTGCAGTATTCCTAGCCTCTGATCTACTTTCGTAGCTAGTGCGTTCATATGGCAAGTCATGTTGATAGTGTGGGATTTCCTTTTTAAAAAGGAGGAAAGATGGGGTTGCTGATGTTGTCTCTTATTGGAGATGGTCATTACTTAGCATTTCTGTAGCGTAAATGTTACTTACCACTTGTCAGCCCAATTCTGTCTTGTTGCATTTAAACATGGACTGCTTCAGTATGTGACCAGTGGAGAATGGTGCTGAGCATTGTGCAGTCATCAGCGAATATCCCCAATTCTGGCCTGATGGAGGCAAGGTCTCTGATGAAGCAGCTGAAGATAGTTGGGACTAGTACATTATCCTGAGGAATTCCTGCAGAGATGTCCTGGAGCTGAGATGACGGATTTCCAACAACACAGCTGTCGTCCTTTGTGCCAGGTATGACTCCAACCAGTGCAGAGTTTCCCCCCGATTTCTACTAGCCCCATATTCAAACAAATGCAGCCTCGAGGTCAAGGGCTGTCACTCTCATCTCACCTCTGGAAATTACTGCTTTTGTCCATTTTGAACCAGGCTGTAACGAGGTCAGGATCCAAGTGGCCCTGGCAGAACTCAACCTGAATATCATTGAGTAGGCTGATGCTAAGCAGGTGCCACTTGATAGCGCTGTTGATAACGCTTTCCATCATTTAACTGATAATCATGAACAGACTGATAGGATGGTAATTGGCCAGGTCAGATTTGTCCTTTCTATGCGCAGGACATAGCTGGGCAATTAGGAACAGCTTGGCTAGGGGTGCAGCAAGTTCCAGAGCACAAGTCTTCAGTACTATTGCCGAATATTGTCAGGGCCTAGTCTTTGCAGTATCCAGTGCCTCCAAACATTTCTTGATATCACATGGAGTGAATTGAATTGGCTAAAGGCTGGCTTCTGTGATCCTGTTGACCAATAGAACAGGCCGAGATGGATCATCCACTTAGCACTTCTGGTTGGAGATCGTTGCAAATGCTTGAGATTTATCATCTTTCGCACAGACATGCTGGGCTCTTCCATGTAGATGGTGGTAGTAGGAACTGCCGATGTTGGAGAATCTGAGATAACAAGGTGTAGAGCTGGATGGACACAGCAGGCCAAGCAGCATCAGAGGAGCAGGAAAGCTGATGTTTCGGGCCTAGACCCTTCTTCATGGATGGGGATTCTTTTAGAGCTTCCTCCCTCAGTGAGATGTTTAATTGGCCACAACCATTCTCGCCTGGATGTAGTGGGACTGCAGAGCTTAGATACGATCTGTTGGTTGTGGGATTGCTTGGCTCTGTCTATCACTTGTTGCTTATGATGTTTGGTAGTTCTTTTTGGTACCAAGTTGACCTTCATTTTCAGGTAAGCCTGGTGCTGTTCCTGGCATACCCTGATACACTCTCCATTGAACCAGGGTTGATCCCCTAGCTTGATGGTCATGGTAGAGTGGAGTATTTGATGGGCCATGAGGTTTCAGATTGTATTGAAATGCAATTCTGCTGCTGCTGAAGGCCTACAGCATCTCAGATGCCCAGTCTCGAGTTGCTACCTCTATTCTGTTTGAAGTCTGCATCATTTAGCAAGGCAATTGTGCAGCACAAAATGATGTAAGGTATTATCAATGTGAAGGCGAGCTTCACCTCCACAAAGTCTGCGCAGTGGTCACTCTTACTAACACTATCATGGACAGATGCATCTGCAGGAGGCAGATTGGTGAAGAGGAGGTCAAGTATATTTTTCCCCTCGTTGATTCCTTCATCTGTTGCAGGCCCAGTTTATCAGCTATATCCTTAAAGACCTGACCAGGTCAATTAATACTGCTGCTGCCACTGTCGTGGTGGTAGACATTGAAATTCCCCACCCACAGTACATTCTGCACTCCTGGCATCCTCAGTGCCTCCTCCAGGTATTGTTCAACATGGAAGAGTACTGATTCACCAGCTGAGGGAGGATGGTACACAGTACACGGCTTTGCCCAAGTTTGACCTGATGCCATGATACTTCAAGGGGTCCAGAGCCAATGTTGAGGACTCCGAGGGGAACACCCTCCTGACTGTATACCATTGTGCCACAACCTCTGATGTATCTGTCCTGTCAGCGGGACAGGACATATTCAATGGCAATGGCGGTGGTCTGGAACGCTGTCTGTCTTAATCTAATTTTTTTTTTGTAGCCTCATACTGCTTTCACAACTTACTTATAGACACATTACATGAGTGGGCAAAAATTTGGTAGATGGAATACATGAGGGAAAATGTGAGACTATGCATTTTGACAGGAAGAATAAAGAACTGAACATTATTTAAATGGTGAAAGACTGCAGAAAGTTGCAGCACTGCAAGATTTGGGAGTTCTCATGCACGAATCACAAAAGGCTAGCATCCAAAACCAGCAGGTAACAGGGAAGGCAAATAGATTGTTGGCTTTTATTTCAAAAGGAATGGAGTACAAAAATGGGAAATATTGCTAAACTATGCAAGGCACTAGTCAGACCGTGGCTGGAATACAGTGAAGTGGTTTAGTCCCCTTATCGAAAGGAAGATCACAAGACCATAAGGCACACGACCAGAAGTAGTCCATTCAGCTCAACAACCCCTCTGCATCTACACTGTCAAGTTCCCCTAAGAATCTTGAAAGTTTCAATAAGGTCTCATTCTTCTAAATTCTAATGAGTACAAAGCCAACCTACTCAACTCTTCCTCATAAGAAAATCCCTCCATAATTGGCATTAACTTGGTGACCCTTCTCTGGACTGTATCCAATGTCAGTATCTTATGGTGGAGAGGCTGTTTCCCTGTGTGTTAGGAGTCTTGTACCGGAGGGTGTAATCTCAGAATACTAGGTCACACATTTAAGACACTGATGAGGAAGAATTCTTGAGGGTAGGGAATCTGTGGAATTCTTTATTGCAGAGGGCTATTGAGGATAGGTCATTAAGAACATTCAAGACTGAGACAGACATTTGTAATCTCTAAGAGAATCAGGATTATAGGGAAAAGGTAGGAAAGTGGACTTTAGGATTATCAAATCAGTCATGATCTCATTGAATGGCAGAGCAAAGCTAATGGGCCATCTCACCTACTTCTGATCCTACATGTTTTGGTTTTACTTTCTTACCCATCTTTGCATCTTCAGCAAATTTGGCAACCAACCCTGCACCAGGAAAACATTTGCTAATGCAGCACCACAGACCTGAAACATTAAGTCTTTCTCTGATCTTCCTGGCCAGTTGGTTACTTCTGACATGGTTTGATATATTTTATAAATGTTATACCTTACTTTTTCTTTTATATATTCACGGGGTGAGGACAAGCAACATTTATTGCCCATCGGGCAATTGACAGTCAACCACATTGCTGTGGGTCTGGAGTCACATAGGCTAGACCCAGAGAAGGTCGACAGTTTCGTTCCCTACAGGACATTGGTGAACCAGATGGGTTTTTCCAACAATCGGCAACTGATTCATAGTTATCACTAGATTCTTAATTCCAGATTTTTTTTTTTTATTGAATTCAAATTCCACTATCTATCATGGTGGGATCCGAACCCAGGACATTATCCTGGTCTCCAGATTAACAGTCCGGCGTTAATACCACTAGGCCATTGCCTTCCTGACTTTATTTATGACTTCTTGCTAATCAAAACAGAGATCACAATGAAATGGGTATACTGTTTTCTAGCTATCCTTTCCTGCATGTGAAGATACTGATTTTAATTCAGACATAAATTGACTGAATTTAGTGCGGCTATTCAAACATGTAATTTAACAGCTGGGTCTTGAACTGCTGACTCAGACACGAAACAACTAATTTATTTCTTCCTCACACCATTTGCACCGCCTTTTTAAATAATGCACCAATTTATTGAATTACAAATGTCACTGCATCAACCTGAGAGAGAGAGAGAGAGAGAGAGCGACACAGACAGCGAGCGAGAGAGAGAGAGCGAGAGAGCGAGAGAGCGAGAGAGCGAGAGAGCGAGAGAGCGAGAGAGCGAGAGAGCGAGAGAGCGAGAGAGCGAGAGAG